CACACACACACACACACACACACACACATATATATATATATACATACAGCCACGCATATGTATTCGGTTGATTCCAACGCAGTAACATGCCCTCAACGTGTAACGCGACGCGGTGTTACAGTACAACACTGGATAAGTATAGAAAACTAATGATATATTATGTATTTTTTAATCAAAATTTAATAATACAATAACAATATTGTAATCACTAATGGGTCTATCACCTTTGCAGTGAATCGTAGCCGTTAGTTAATCAATCATAAAACGAAGAAATCCACGTGTGCCAGGTGGACAGCTCAGGTCACTACGTGGCATGTTGTGATTGGATGAGTGAAACATCCGTTTTGGAGAATGAATAAATGTCAAAAGAAATGTGTTGTATTTTTTGTCGGTCAAAGAAAAAAGAGCGAGTAATTAGAGAAGTCGATATACATGATAGGAGCAGTGAAGTGGAGCCCACGCAGTGGAAGAAGCGGTGGAAATCCATCATTAAGGGAAGACAATGCCATCATTTGCACGTGTCTATGGACCACCACCACACACACACACTCTTTCCTTCCCCTCCTTTTTTTATTTTAATTTTTTAACAAATAAAAATTAATTATTTAATTATTATGGTACGTGTGTATACTTGAACACATAATAATACAAACTGTAGCCATAAAATCCTAACATGCATGGTAACCTCTCTCCCGACACAACCCAATACGAGTCTTGACCGATTGACAGAGAAATTGGACTTACTCTAATCGATCGCATTAATAAATGGATTAGCTTATTATTTAATTGGGCTAATTTATATACTTTTGTCCTAATCTTATTTTAATTTTTTTTGAAATTAAATAATTGAACTTGAAACTTAATTAATCATGTATGTTATGATAATTTAGCAGTATTTTTACTCCTATATAGTGAATTCTCAAAAATGCATGTACATAACTATAGCATCAAAATTATAGTTTTTGTAAATAGATGAGGGTCGGTCCGTGACCAAACATGTATCTGCAGGAGAAGAGGCGCTGCATGTACATAGATGAAGGTTCGGTGTGATTATTACAGCAATCGATAAGTTTATGCAAAAAATTCATAATCCAGACCGAATAGACTAAAGTTTTATTAATTTTTGTTAGAATTATAATTATAGATTACTATTTATCTTATTAATTTCATTAATTATAGTTCAAGTAGTTTTATAAATTAAATTATAATAATTATAAATAGTTCGCGACATTTTTGTAATGTAATCATCTACACCCGTAAGCTTATTTAGGGTTAGAAGCTTTTTGGGATTGGAAAGGTATGGTTGAAATGCCGTTCCCACCGACTCTTTAAACGTATATCATCCCAAACTTAAAAAAAGGCAAAGTGAAATGAGGTGAGACACATCGTAACCTTTTTGATGGAAATATATTTTATTTTCCAATTAATTTTAATATTTTTATATGTTTTTTTTATTTAATATTGCAAAAATAATAATAATAATTAGTTTCTTACGGATAACTGAAGGTCAAATTAATCAATAATTGCATAAAAGATAAAAATTTCACTGTAATTTCATAAAAATACGAATTAAAAATGTTTTTTTTTTATGGATGGCCCAACTTGATTATTATAATTTATTTTTTTACATATAGCTGATAATATAATTATATATATATTTTTTTAACTTTGTAACGATAAATATATATTTTCACTTATTAATAATTGAATTATATATAGAGTTAATTTAATACGAATTTATATGTTATTTTCATCATCATTAATTAAAATTTACATATGCTTGACATCTTGGTGATCTAATTCCAGCGTTTGATGACTCGTATCAACATCTTTGACGATCTAATTTCTCTTTTTTTTTTTTTTTTTTTTTCTTTGGAACAGAAATTCTCTATTCATTCTTTAAGCACATTACTAGTACTACTTTAGTACTTTTATTATTTTTCTCTCTTATTTTCTCGAGAAAGAGAGAGAAAGAGAAGAGTTAAGAATAGAAAGGGGAAAGGAATAGATGGAGGAAGGGGTTGGAAATTTGTCATGTCGTGTAAGGGAAAGTGGGTGCAAATGTACAGAGAAAGGGATTTTCTTCCCTTTTTATTTTTTATTTATGTTTAAATTTATATGCACCAATACATATATAAGAGTTGTACTAAAAATATATACACACCCACACATAGAGATATATATATATATATATATGAGTTAATGGGTGACAGTCAAAATCTCAATTAATTGAATTGATGGCACTGAAAGATCCTCACAAACTTACCTTTTCTTCATTCCCTTTATGTATACATTCTTTATTAATGCTATATGTCTCCGTGCTCGCTTTTTATTTTTATTTTATTTTTTTTTTAAAAGGAAAAACAAAAAATTCTCCCACCCCCCTGTCATTTTTTTCCCCCCAATTAAACAATATTTTTAAATTTTCAAAATTACATAATGCAATATTAATATAAATAACATCGAACAAAAAAAAGAAAAAACTGAATCCATTAAAAAATATGTTATTATTTAAACATTACATTGAAAAATCAAAACCTGAAAATTAAAATAGACACGTTTTTATCAACGGGGTGTGGATTCAATTTGGTTGCACAAAGTTAGAAAAAATATTGACTCTTTCAAAGTCTAAACGTCTCTTTCTCTTTTTATACTTCTTCTTCTTCTTCTTCTTATTCCTTCTCGATGTTTCTCGTTATACACACGCATATATACAGATATATATATATATATATATATAGAGAGAGAGAGAGAGAGAGGAGCATTTGGCACTCGCCTAAAAAGCTACACCTTTTTTTTTGTTTGTTTGTTTGTTTTGAACTTTTCTAGTGGGTTAAAAACCACTGCGTGTGTTGATCAATTGCGTTGGTCCAAGTGCCAAATGCCACTTACATGAATGGGCCAAAGTTCATTTTTTTTTTTGGTTTTGGTTTTCGGTTGATCTTATTTTCCCGCCAAGACAAACAGATAACGAAGAGGAGAAAGAAAGGACTAGACTCCAAAATTTTGAATTATCACATCATTATAACACCACTCTATAATGCTTCCTTCCTGCTAATATTTAAGATTTAGCAACCACAAAAATAATCATGTACTGTTTATATGCTTTTCAAAGTGGTCTAAAAATAATAATTTTAAATAATTAATTAAGTTAATAAATTTAACTATTTTAATTTTTTTTTTAAATTAAAATTTTAAATGAAACTAAATGTTTAAAATAAATAAAAGTAATAAATCCTGAATTTTAAAAATTAATTTAGTAACTTGGTTTTTTTTTTTTTTCTTATTTGTTGTTAACTTACTTATAATTGTATTCTAAACATTCCAATCAAAGTGGAAGAATGTGACATTCGACATTGTAACAAGCAAACCCAGTTTGTGGATTGTTCGTGCTCGGTTCAAGCTAAATGAATTTAGTACTATAACATGTTAATTTTTATTTATTTTATGTGTCGTCCCCAAGCTCAGAGCGTGTAAATTTGAGCTGCTTCTTGATGGGCTTTATTCATAATGTTGGTCGTAGCAAGGCCGTTAGATTTTGACCCATCATCAAATTACATCTGGGCTCTAATAAGTTCTTTGGGCCTCTCTCACATTTTTCTTGCATCAAGATCAGAATAATATATTTTTTAAATTCATTAGTGTTTTAGTTTAGAATTTATTTATGCAGGTGAAAGATATTAAAAACATCTATTAATATAAATGTATCTTTTTGATTTATTTTTTTAATTACAATGAACTTGATTTCTAGGCAGTTGACGTCAGAGAACACCAGAACGAGGGGAAGCACATCGGTAGACGCAAGCGTGACCGGTCGGGCGACAAGTGAAACCTCTTGGTAAACCTGGCACGTCCATCACGTGTCATCAGTGGACCCCACCGTAACACGTTCTTCGCACCTTGATCCACAATCATCACACGGCTAATCAAAATGCCCAGCTTCATCAGACGGCTCAGATTCATTCATTCGTTTCCGAACCTAGGGTTTTCCCGCACTTACGTATATATGCCGCACGGTTGGCTCTGTCCGGGTTGCGGTGCAGTTTGTTCTGCCCTCCCCTTTTGGAAAAAAACCAAAAAAAATTCCCGTTAACGTACTTCTTTCGCCGTCGGTTCAGCTTGGATCTCCGACGAATTTATCCCCGTTTTACCCCTGCCTCTCCTCTTTTATCCCCAAAAACACCAAAAACTCTAAATTAAGAGTTGTTCTCCTTTGAAGTGTTAGGTTTTTATTAACGAGGGGCTATATATTGATCTAGAATCGAAGCGGCGTGTTTGGTTCATTGTCTCTCTAGGGTTTTGCTTGAATAACGAAAGGAGGAGCAGGAGAAAAATCGAAAAAAAAAAAAAAAAAGAGTATAGGAAAGTTAGATAAGAAAAGGTTAGGGTTTTTCTAGTGTTGTGCGATTTTCGAGATGGCGCAGATTCAAGTGCAGCATCAGGCACCGGTATCGGGGCCGAACGGTGGTGTGGCTGCAAACACTGGAGCGAACCAGTTCACAACCTCGCTTTATGTCGGGGATTTGGACTGGAATGTGACCGATACACAGCTCTTCGATTTATTCGGCCAAATTGCCCCGGTCGTATCTGTTAGGGTCTGCAGGGACTTGACCACCCGGCGATCTCTTGGCTATGGTTATGTCAACTACAGCAACCCACAAGATGGTTAGCTCTTTTTTCTCTCTGACTCAAAAATCGGTAGTTCAGTAAGCATTTGCATTCAACCCTAAATTCTCTGTGGAAGATTTTGGAATATTGTCAGTTATCGTAAATCATGTTGAATGTTTCATTTACATGTGAACTCAAATTCATTATTTGATGCATGTTAAGCTGATAAGCTCCATGTTTGAAGGATTTCCTTGTTGAGGAAACTCTGGAATAGGATAAATTTGTGTTCGTAAATTGTGTTTTATTTGGTTGATTTATTTTAAATATGTTGCTGCCAATGAGCAACTTTATCTTTTCAGAACTCTTTGATTATTAACCCTTGCACGATCTTTTGACTAGGGCAAGTGAGGGAAAGGAAGGGATGAATCTCCCACTTCCCATTTTAAATTAAAAGTTATCATTCGCCCAAAATGGAGGAAAGGGGAGAAATTATACAACGGACCCGGCTTACCACCTTAGGTTATTAAAGTGGGTTGCCAGTTCAAGTAGAATATGTCATCCCATTCAAATAAGATCTGTGCTATTTTAGATTTTGTTTCTGCTAAGGAGCAAGTTTACCTTTTCGGAACTCCTTGCTCATTAACTCGACACTATCTTTTGAATGGAGCAAATGAGGGAAAGCAAGGGACAGATCACTCAGTTTTCCTTCTAATGCTCATCATTAAAATGTATAAATAAAAGCCTCTCTAAGAGTTACAAAGAGATTCAACTATTTTCCATATCAGTCAGGACACTCAATTCCATGCATTAAGCAAAATCCGAAGGTGATGGCAACCTAGAGGGAAAAAAGCTTACGTACCTTGATGATAGATGCTACTAGGCTATTAGCATAATATCAACTTATACATATTATATGCCAAACCAATTTCATGCATGATACTAACAAAATTGTGGGGGATGGACCACAATTAGTTGGGTTGCTAGTTTGAGGGGGCGGTTGTAGATTTCTGCGGACTCTGTTGCTTGATAATGTGGATAAACCAATCCATGATGGAGGGAATGTTTTACTTCAATTCAATGGTGTTAGTAGACACGGTAACCTAATGCCAAGGTTTAATCATCTCTTTGTTTCTTATGTCATGGTTGTGATAATTGAGGACAAGATTTGACTGAGAGAGAGAGAGAGAGAGAGACAACAGAAGAGATAAACTCAAGGGAATTGTTGGCAGTAATAAAAGATTAATGATTTTTTACTTTAGATTTTCGTAGATGTAATTTTGCAGTGTTGAGGTGGTGAGCTGATCCATTATATAATTCCTTAAAAAGGAGAGGAATGAAGAATAGCTTAGGACTTTAATGAACTTGGTTCTTAGATTGCATTGAGGACAAGATTTGAAGGCAGAAGATATGGATTTGTGGGCCGAATTTTTGACATAAACAAAATAATTATGTTAGATATGGGGCTGAATGTTTGACACAGATAAAAGATTAACATTCATTAAACATACATATAAATTTGTAAGTTTCCTTAAAGCTGAGGCGGTGAGCTGGATCCATAATAATAAAATTGTGTTAAATTTTTACATAACATTGTCGTTTTGCACTTTAGAAGGTAACAGAAAAGCGCCCTACGTACATAGGGAGAGAAAGATATCTATCATGTATCTTTTAGGAAAAGTATATGAGCATGGATGGATAAATGGACAAGTAAAGGAATAAGATTCTGAGTCAATAGGAAAAAAAGGTTAAAACAAGTTAGGCAGAAGATTCTGATTTTTTCCAATGAGCGAAGCTCCTTTGGGCACATATTAAAGTATCTTGCTTATTGTCTAACCAAATATATTAATTTAAAAAAGTCATTAGAACTGCTTATAAATAGCAAATAAGCAATGTCAAACACTCAATATTTGATAGAAAGAAAATATTATCATTTTTACCATGTGGGTGCATCATTTTGTGAGGAAAAAGAAATAATATTATAAACAAGGCACCTAGGAGGTGCCACCTATATACAAAATATAATTTTGAATTTGTTTAAATTCTATTCTAGTTGGTGAGCACTTTATTAATGCGCTGGAATGTATTTTTTGACCTGATTCACTACCTCTGCATGCTGATGTGGTAAACCTTTTTCGTAATAGTAAATTCTGTTCAAATTTTTGCAAACGTTGCTGTTTTGCTCGTAGAATATTAGAACAAAAAAGCTACATGTTATGTAGGAAAATTCCCTCTGCTTTAACGAAGTAGTTATGTAGGAGTAGTTAGTGAATGATTTGCTTGCAGTAGAACTTGAGATAAAATCTAGATATGATACCTATAGTTTCGTAGATATCATATGTAAGCGTCTTTAAGAACTCTGCTTGAGGGTTTGATAGCATACTGCAACAAGAAAAATCAAGAAAATTCTTAAGGAACTTTTTATTGAGTAATTAGACTTGTATCAAAAGTGAGATTTAAGAGTAATTATCATCATAAGTGCCTTCTCAAATAAAGTTAGACTAAAAAAATACTAATAGAAATATTGCTAGGAAAACTTTCTATGAAGTAAACATAAACTAAATCCTAAAATTTGCATTCCCAAGTCAAAACAACTAGTACGGTCCCTATCTTAGGTGGACTATCAAGATAGTACAGATAGTTTGTAGATTAGCTAGAAATATAATTTCTCATCTATTTAAAGACTCAAATCCATTCTGCATCAATTAGTATATAGATTCTCAAAGAAACGAACACAGAAAAACGTTAAAACTTTAATGAACTTTGTTTATTAAACCATCATTCCAATTGTATAAAACAAGAAATGAAGTTTGTTTGTGCGTGCACACAAGTGGAAGAGTTATCAGGGAGAATGTTTTTTGTAAATTTAAAAAAAAAAAAATTTGTAAATTTTGCGTAAATATAATTTTATTTCACATGACCTTTTTTAAATGCAGTGCAATATCTTTATTGGCCGGCTAACCATTTCAGCATGCTTTTAACTGAGTTCAGGGTATAATTTCATTAAATGAGGAGGGAAAAAAGAAAGGAGTTCAAAACTTCAATGAAAGAATTTCTATTTTACCCAAAGCTGCTTGTTTTGCCGTTTTTGTTAATATCTTGATATGAATAATATAAGTTGACAATATTCTTTTAATTGATCACTTTCTGAATATTCTTATATATTTTGTTTACTTTACACATCTAAACCAAACAAAATACTATTAAAATGTTTTTTTTTTTGGGTTTTCTTAGTGTTTAGTTAAAAGGAAACATCTTTTTTTAAGCCCCTCTTCTTTCTCCATATTCCTTACCAAAATTTGTCCAAACATAGTGTTACTTCAAAAATAATTTCTCAACATCAATTCAATACTGTCATTCTCTGTTTTCCGAATCTTTAATTTTTGAACTGTTCCTGTTTTGGACACAGCTGGCATTGGTGTGTGGAATATTATGCTGGACACTAGATGCACATGTTGGAAGCTAGATGATCTAGAACTAGAGGATACGATATATGATGACGTAACTGGAAATACTTAAGCATATAGGTTGAATATGATAGATGATCCAGACATGTTGAATTTCTAGATTTTGTGTGATAAATATTTAAGCAGATACATATGGCTAATTAGTATCGTGGACATTTTTTCATCCAATACTAATATAATCTGCTATTTTATGTCCAAAAATCTATATTTTTGTTATGTTACATATCATCAGAGCTTTCTGAAAACTTCAAATAGTTTTTAGTATTTTTTATATTAACAGTTTCAAAAATCATTATTCATTTTCTGGACTTTTATTTAGCAATATCCATATCTTTAACTGTAAAAATTATCAAGTCAGATACTTATACCCTTTCTCGACACATGCATCAGCATCCAGCATGGTTGCAATCAAGTCATATCTGGATGTTTGTTTCTTCTATTGATAGCATGTTTTATCTTAATCAGGCCAGCATGTTTTTTTTTTAAAAAGGAAAATCAGGATGGTATTTTCAAGGGCAAATAAATTTTTAGAATTTTAAAATTTAATCAGATTTGTTTCAATCTATTCCGAACTGAACTTTCTGCTTTCTGACTTTTAGTGATGCATTTATTGAGGTTATTTCAATCTGAACTCTTGTGGACAACAGAAGGTGCATCCAACTAAGCCTTTTCTTTGTATGTAACTGTTGTGAATAGCTTGCAATTTACTTCATTTTCTGCGACTGTGTGGGTTGTTGGCTGTCCTATCTAGGATTAAGCAATAAATGCATTTATGCCTAGAGATATTGATGACAAAATTGCACCTGTTTTTGTGGGGATACAAAACTTGAGTCCAGTATTGTGGAGTATTTCTCATCTTTAATTCAGGTTTAACTCTTCTTTCTTTTTAACCCTTGATGCATTTGAGTCTGTTTCATGATAATTGTGGATTTTTAAGAAGTATAATTCCTTCTCTTAACAGTTCTAATCTTACATCATCTAGTGAGTGCTTTTGTAATGGTGTGTTCATTTGTTTGTAAGAAGGTGCTGCTACAGGATTATAAATTTTCTCCTCTCTCTTTCTTCTTAATGTTTTTGTCAGCTCTTTTATTTATTCTTTTCTAATGTTCTTTATGTGTACAGCTGCAAGGGCATTGCAGGTCCTGAATTTTACCCCATTACACAGCAAGCCTATCAGGATCATGTATTCTCATAGGGATCCTAGTCTTCGGAGGAGTGGGACTGGAAACATATTTATAAAGGTATTAACATTCTGTTTGTTAATTTCTTTTGGCATATTTATATTTTATTTTTGCAATTTATTCACCGAATCTTTGCCACATCTTGAGGCTGTCGCCACACTTGGAAAATTTTCTCATCTATCTAGTAAGTTGGATTAATCCTGGTGGAAATGAACTGACTAATATTATTTATTCCCCACGTGATTACTTAATTCTACTACTTGATCTGTCTTCCTCCTCTCTATTGGTTTGTATTTTGGCAATTTATTCACCCTGATTCTTTCACCCTATTGTAATTGGGTGCAGAATCTGGACAAAGCAATTGACCACAAAGCATTACATGATACATTTTCTTCGTTTGGCAACATTCTTTCATGCAAGATAGCTACTGATTCATCCGGCCAGTCCAAAGGCTATGGTTTTGTTCAATTTGACAATGAAGAATCGGCTCAAACTGCTATAGATAAGTTGAATGGCATGTTAATTAATGATAAACAGGTATATGTTGGACGCTTTCTTCATAAGCATGAAAGAGGGAGTGCTCTGAATAAAACAAAATTCAATAATGTCTATGTGAAAAATCTTTCTGAGTCAACAACGGATGAGGATTTGACCAAAATTTTTTGTGAATATGGAGTAATTACTAGTGCAGTAGTGATGAGGGATGGAGATGGGAAGTCAAAATGTTTTGGATTTGTAAACTTTGAAAATGCTGATGATGCTGCCGAGGCTGTTGAAGCACTTAACGGAAAGAAATTTGATGAGAAGGAATGGTATGTTGGAAAAGCCCAGAAGAAGTCTGAAAGAGAACAAGAACTGAAAGTCCGATATGAGCAAAGTATGAGGGAAGCTGTAGACAAATACCAAGGGGTGAATTTATACCTTAAGAACTTGGACGATAGTATTGGTGATGAAAAACTGAAGGAGTTGTTTTCAGAGTTTGGTACAATTACCTCATGCAAGGTTTGTGAGCTTTCTCCCTTTAGATGGAAGTTCTCAACATTTTAACTATTGCAGAGTTTGGTCATGGTAAAGATGACAAATCTTCTTGCTTTTCCTCTTTTTTAATCTTACATAGGTCATGCGCGATCCTAGTGGAATCAGCAAGGGTTCTGGGTTTGTGGCATTCTCGACTGCCGAAGAAGCATCCCGAGCTGTAAGTTGAAAATTTACGTGCCTGGCCCCATAAATCTCAGGAACTAACATTTTATTGCTCATGTACAGCTTGCTGAAATGAATGGTAAAATGATTGTTAGCAAACCACTTTATGTTGCACTTGCACAGCGGAAAGAAGAGAGGAGAGCAAGGCTACAGGTAAATTTATGTTGAAGTGCCTGGAAACTTTGGTTTTTCAGTTGCATGCTCTGCTCTTTTATGATTGTGTTTGCTTGAGTCAGTACTTTTGAACACTGCTCATTTGGAAACATGTTCTGTTACATTCAAGAAGATAATATATGTTGGTAGCTTTGTGCTTTTTATTTTTTCAGTATGTTAGGCTGCTCACCATTATTAGTATTAATGTTGTTGATGTCATGGATACTTGCGGAACTTTTATCTTTTTTTCTTTTGAAATAAAAAGTATGCTTGCGGAATTTTTCTTTTGTGTATATTTTTCTTATATTTTTTTCTGACCAGGAGGAAATGCTGTAGTCACGAAGTTGAATATTTTTCATACTTTCACTAAACAGTTCAATTGAATTTATGTGAAGTTGATGTTTGTTAGTATTCAAGTATTGCTGTTAATCATTTCATTTGCTTTATGCAGGCTCAATTTTCACAGATGAGGCCTATGGCTATGCCCCCTTCTGTTGCTCCTCGTATGCCAATGTATCCTCCTGGTCATCCAGGTCTTGGTCAACAATTCTTATATGGGCAAGCACCTCCTGCTATAATTCCTCCACAAGTAATCACAGTTGATTATTTCGGCTTTGCTGTTTTAAGTATCTGTTTGATCTTCTGTGCTAGATGTGTATTTAATTCATGTTTTATTTGTTCATGAATGCTGGTGCTTACATTATAAGTTTAACAAATAGTCAAAGTGAGAGTTGGATAGATTCAGGATAAATACATTCTTCCTGCATGCTAGGCATGAGGAAATGCACTTATTTTAGCCTTTTCGGATCCAATTTTTAATTGCATTAGAAATCTATGCAATCGGAAATTTTCGGTCGAGGTCGTTATTGTTTTTCTCCAAATGTTTTATCTCAGGCTGGGTTTGGTTATCAGCAGCAACTTGTTGCTGGAATGAGGCCAGGTGGGGCTCCTATGCCTAATTTCTATGTTCCAATGGTCCAGCAAGGTCAGCAAGGTCAGCGACCAGGTGGACGGCGTGGAGCTAGTCCTGTGCAGCAGGCCCAGCAGCCTGTCCCGCTGATGCAACAGCAGGTCAGCTGAAAGGGTTTATCTTCTTATTTGTCTTCTCATTGTTCTTGTCTTTGTTCTTGTCTAAGGGTCATTATACGTTCTTCCAGATGGTTCCTAGGGGACGAATGTATCGTTACCCACCTGGTAGGAACATGCCAGAAGTTCCGATGGCAGGTGTTGCTGGAGGCATGCTTTCCGTCCCTTATGATGGTGGCATGCCAATGAGAGATGTTGGGATGGGACAACCAATACCCATATCTGCTTTGGCTTCGGCACTTGCAAATGCAACATCTGAACAGCAAAGGACTGTGAGTTCCTGTATTAATTCTGTTTTATTCCCTTTGATTTCAACTATGCCTGAGCCATCTGTTTACATATTTGGTTTTGGTTTGGGTTATAGATGCTTGGAGAAAGCCTGTACCCTTTAGTGGAGCAGCTGGAGCATGATGCTGCAGCGAAGGTCACAGGCATGCTTCTAGAAATGGACCAGCCTGAAGTCCTGCATCTTCTTGAAGCACCTGATGCACTGAAGGCCAAGGTTGCAGAAGCCATGGAGGTGCTGCGGAGTGTTGCTTCACAGCAGCAAGCCAATAGCTCATCAGATCAACTAGCTTCTCTGTCGCTGAATGATTAATCTTGTCTCATAAAGACTTTCTGCAGGTTTGACCAGAGAGTTTATGGGATATTATTCTGCACATTCAAAACCCGACTTCCCATAAGTCTCTTTTGGTGTTTAGTTGCTTTTTCAGTGAGTTTGGAACCCGGACGTTTAGGATTCTAAGTTGCTGGTATTTGCAAAACCATTGACTTTGAGTTGTTTCGTTGACTTGCTTGCTGATTGTTACAGATGTCCCTTGATAACATTATATGATTGTTATCGGTCTGGGTTTTAGAATTCCAATTATAATATTGATAAAATGAGTAAATATTTATAAGGGGTGTGGAAAATTGAATTCAAAACTTCCTGCTTTAACCGAGCTGAGTTATGGCAAGTGGAATGTATGGTTGTAAGGAAATACGTACGTTAGATATCTGCTTTTCAAAATTTTTGGATTTTAAAAGTAGAATATTTAATAATCCTTTTGCTAAACAGATTGATGCTGAAAATGTTTCCATTTGTTATTAGTTATTGTTAATGTTTGTAGAGATTATATGAAATTTTAATGAGATTTAATGAAATTCTTTTTTTTTAATATTAGAAATATTTATACACAACGAATTATTTTTTGGTCTGTTATAAAATATTTGCAAGTGTTGCGATGATGTATGTATTATATGCGTGAGAATTTAGATAGATAAAATTGTCATTTCAATAACAATTGGGTAGACTTTGGCTTAGTTCCTATTTTATTAACATTTTAATTTCTTACATACATGTTTTATGCTTGTCTAGTTACGAAGGCAGCACCTACCCCATTTACGAAAAATGCAAGTTGGTTCTTTTGAAAATTGAAATGAACCATTTGGTCAGACATTTTAGCTTAGCTGATGATCAGTTTGGCTGAAAAGTATAAGAGGTTGTGATGAACAGGGAACTGGAATTTTGAGGTCTTCAACAACTACTCCTGGGGGTTTTACCTGTCAATTATAATATACGTATTTTAGAGGAAGAAGAGTGAGATTAGCTTGGAGAACAAGGAAGCCATTTGTGTATATATATATATATATATATTTTATATAAATTACAATAGAAACATGTTATATAAACCCAGAAACCAGAGAGCTGATTTAGCTAACTTGAAGCCAGAGCATAACAGTTAGCATGGATTCTTCAGCAGTTAGACATATTTCAGAATCCTTTGTAAAACCTCACTGGAAAACAGAAGAGTCGAAACCGCCATTTTATCTGACTCCATGGGACCTCGCAATGCTCTCCGTTCAATATATCCAGAAAGGTCTTCTCTTTGCCAAGCCACCAAAACCAGTAATTCATCTTCAACAAGATGACTTCATCAACTATTTCTTGGACAAGTTGAAGGACTCTCTCTCCCTCGCTCTCGTCCACTTCTACCCTCTCGCCGGCCGCCTTGTAACTCGAAAACAAGACGACCCACCTTATTTCGTCTTCGTTGACTGCAACAACAGCCCTGGTGCGAAATTGATCCATGCAGCTCTGGACATGACTATGGAAGAGATCCTCTCGCCGGTCTATGTCCCTTTGGTAGTTCAGTCTTTTTTTGACCATGATAGAGCTGTTAATCATGACGGCCATACTCGGCCTTTGCTGTCAATTCAAGTGACAGAGCTGGTTGATGGTGTGTTTATCGGAGCTTCCATGAATCATGCCATTGGTGATGGGACATCTTTCTGGCATTTCTTCAATACATGGTCTGAAATCTTTCAAGGAAAGAGCTCGCCGTCATCCATCTCTCGCCCACCGGTTCTGGATCGTTGGTTCCCAGATGGCTATGGTCCCATTATCAACCTCCCATTTACCCACCAGGATCAGTTCATCAAACGTTATGAATCGCCGAAACTCATGGAAAGAATCTTCCACTTCTCGGCGGAAACCATCGCTGGACTCAAAAGTAAAGCAAATGCCGAATATAACACCACTAAGATTTCTTCCTTCCAGTCCTTGTCTGCACTTGTCTGGAGATCCATAACAAGGGCTCGTCATCTTCCTCCGGACCAAACCACCTGTTGCCGGCTCGCTATAAATAACAGGCCCAGATTGGACCCACCACTGTCGCCTGACTACTTCGGAAACTCGATTCAAACAGCGCAAGGAGTGAGCAAAGCTGGTGAGCTACTCGAGCAGAATCTCGGTTGGGCGGCATGGAAGCTTCATGAAGCCGTGGCTAACCACAACGACAGAGCCGTTCGTGGGTTTGTTGAGGAATGGTTGAAGAACCCATTTGTTTACCACATGGATCTCTTCGATCCATTTAGCGTGATGATGGGAAGCTCTCCTAGGTTCAACAAGTATGGGAACGAATTTGGCATGGGCAAAGCTGTGGCGCTTCTAAGTGGCTATTCACACAAGTTTGACGGAAAAGTGTCGTGTTATCCAGGACATGAAGGAGGAGGGAGCATCGATTTAGAGGTGTGTCTTTTGCCGGAATTCATGGGTGCCCTAGAATCCGATGAGGAGTTCATGTCTGCTACCTCTTGATTCCATCTATTGCAGACCATTGACATCGTTTCTAAGCTATCTGTTTTAGTAATTATAACCATCCATGAAAAATATATAAATAAGAGACATAAAGAAGCTTTTCTGCTCCTCTTTGATCTAATTGCTATATGCCATCTGGTGTTATCGCTGTTGAATCTGACCCATCTTGGAAACAATAAAAATTTATAATTGACGCACGTAGATTCAACCAGAGATGAAAATAACACAGGTTTTCATTTGTATCTTCAGGGCAGATATGAAGTTCATACGCAATGCCTACCAACAGTTTGTAGAATTTTGTCACCTCCAACTCTTACCTTTTTCGTTGAAAACATTTTTCTATTTTTTATACAAGAAAATATCCTTACATTTTCAATTTTCAGATAAGAAACCTTGTTTAAAAAACACGAGAGTACAATCAGCTTATACTCTCTCATTTTCTATGAACACGTGTCTATTGTCGGTATCTGCAACCTGCCTGCAAGTATCACACCTAACCTTGCCTTCCGCAGTAAGCAAGATGTCTTTTTCATTGTCGTGGAATTGCTAATATGCGAACAATATTGTCTACGCTCACAAAAACTACCCGCTTATCTTAAGAATTCGTCCACTTTATACTGACGCCATTGAATCTAACGGCTGAGAGTGCTGTTTGTAAGTCTAACCGTGTGAGTATAATACAAAAAAGTTTCCAATTTTGACTGAGTCGCGGAATCGAAATTTCGGTCTGACGACTGGATTGTCTTTGGACCGTCACAGTCAATATCCTTACTTCGTGCAACCAATGAGAACATGCCAGCTCATAAGAAGAAGAGTGCACCAAATTTTTAAACAATTGTTTCCCACCTACCAACTAATCATAAATGAATTAAACGGCAGCTGGATAAGGTAAACCTACTCTTGGATAGGATACTATCATAGTCGCAGTGTCGAGCTAAAAAGAGAAACTTCGGCTGCACGCCTCTTTTGTTCGTCTCTCTTCCCATTTCCCTACAAAATCCTCACCCCCACCCAAAAGCCCCTCTCTCATTTGCTCTCTCTGACAATTGGTGCTCACCCGTTGATGTTGCAATGGAGCACTCTCGTTGCATGAGAGAGTCGACATCGTTTAAGATGCCGCCGGGTTGCCGATTCTACCCTTCCGAGGAGCAACTCCTCTGCTGCTATCTAACCGGCAAGAACCGTAACACTATCGGCGATGAAGACGGCTGTGAGGGTTCAAACGGCTACGATTTGATAAAGGAGCTAAATTTATACGACTACGAGCCGTATGAGTTGCCAGACAGTGCGTGCTTTTCTTATGGTTGCAAAGCGAGGAAGAGGCACTGGTTCTGTTATACGATTAGGGTTTTGAAAGGTAGTAGTGCACGATAAATAGAAGGACGAAGGGAGGGTACTGGAGGAGGAGGGGAAGGGTTAGGGACGTGATGAGCCCTGGAGAGAAGCTGCCGGTTGGGACGAGAACGAGGTTTGTTTTCTATTTGGGGAATTCGCTGAAGAATTCGGTAAGAACTGATTGGGTCATGTACGAGTATGCCCTGCTTGATCATATTAAGGTATGCTTTTGGTTTAATTTTTTGAAAACTTCAGATTAATCTGTTTTAAATTTCTCAGTTATCCTTTGTCTATGTTGTTTCTTTAATGACTCCCAGTGCTTATTTATAGTAGTCTGGATTTCCATAGACATTGAATCGATATTTTCTGCATTTAACTATAGCTGTTGATATATATTTTTTCTTCTGTTTAGTTCTTAGAAAGAGATTCAAATTAGTTCTTTGATGAATTGCCTCATTGAATTTTTGAAAGGTCTTGGTCGAGTTTTGAAGATAATCTAGGCTGGTTGAACAAATTCAGAGACAATTCAATACGTTGCCGATTTGAAATTTTAATTTTTGTAAGTGTCCCAATTGTTTAACTGACCATGGAGAAGCCTCAATCAATATAGATAGCCTTATACACACACACATGCATATATTAAGGTAAAAAGTTCCAAGATATAACATTTTATGAGGAACCCCTGCAACAGATGTTGCGTGTCAACCTTCTTAAATCTTGCAATCTTAAAATTTTATTTCAGTTTGCATTTTCTGAATAACTAAACTTGCTTGGTATTGCATTTTATCGTATCATGAACTTGGTTAGTTAGGAATTTCTTTTTGTTTTGTTTTACTTTTATGTTCAAACTATCAGCTGATTATTTATCTTGGTAATGAAAGAGATGCTGTGATATTTTCCATGATTGGTTTGTGAAATGAGAGTCTTATTGGTCGTGTTTGTTCTTTATCTTAAGGTCTCTAAAGATGATTTTGGCTGAGTGTGGATTTCTTTCCTATCCTTGATGCTTGAAGGTCTTACACTTAGCATCTGCAGGCTGCTTTTGTCCTATGCCGAATGCTTGTCAAGTCTCGCTCTGGAAATAGCAGATCAGAGAATGTTTTTAGTTCTTGTGCTGAGGAAAGTGTTTCAGCAGTTCGTCATATCGGTGTTCAACATGATGGATTCCTTATAGCTGATGTTGCTGAAGCTGAAGTATATCATGGGACCTCCATTGAACAGAGCAAAGATGTATGTTCCTTGGTTGTTTATGTCCCATTTTTAATTTGTTCTTGTTTTCCTTTTTTAAAAATCACAAATCATTCTGTGTGTTTACATTCTACATTATTCAGATTCTCATAATCTTGTTGATTGCATAACTTAAACAACCCTCCTGATCCGTACAAGGGACCTGCTGTTGCTGCAACCAATTAGAAGCTGTCTTGTAGGAACTATTTGCAATCAGTGTCCTGCTCTGCTTTCATATCTCCCCCCCCCCCCCCCCCCCAAATTTAAACAACAAAATTAGGAGGGAAAAAGGAACATCCTCTTAATCTGCATGAGAGTTCTTTGTGAGCTTGTTATTATCTTGGCTAGTAAATGCACATTTCTTCAACAAAGTATACATGAAATTCACCCAGTTTGTGCACATATTAGTTCGAATCATGTGTCCTTTTTCTAAACTTGTTATGAATCGTTTAATTTTTGTTTTGCAGGTGAAATTGTCAGAGACTGATGGCGACATATTTGCTACTAGAAGTGCCAATGAACTACTGTGCATTCTAAAAGGGGAGTTCATCGAGCTGGATGATCTTGTGCCTTAAGGGTCCAGATTGAACATGGAAGCACATATGGGTGTTAGTGAATGATATTATTTATGGCTCGAAAGAGCGGTTAGAAAGGACTCAAAATACCGAGCATTGGGGGTAGGGTTCATAGACCCTAAGAGTGATAAAAAGGGTAGAACACCCTCAAACAATGAGGAGGGTTTTAAATAGCCACCAAAACTAAGGAAATACATCAAGATTCAAGTAATTGGAAGAGCTTTAAATAGCCATTAAAGTAAAGAGAGAGAGAGAAGTGGTTTTGTTATTAACTTTACCTTCTAGGAGATGTAAGGCTGGTAAAAGAGACTGTAAGAGTTGAAGTTCAGAGGGATGTCATAGCTAGATGGCTCATCTATTAAGGTTGTTTGTTACCTATTCCCTTTTGTTGATACAAGTTCCATTCTGACTGATATCTTGGTGGAAACATTTGGTGAATTATGCTTTTACTTGGCATGCAGATTGTTGATATTCCTAAAATGGCACTCTGCTGTAAAAGGGTAAAGGGAGATACTATGTCTTGGATGGCTGCAGTCTAAAGCAAAATCTAAGAATCAGCTGCCGGGCCTCTCTTGATCTTTCTGCATATCGACAAGGCTTCTCTCTTTATGGCCCTTCACTGTTTTCGTTTAACAAATATTCTTGTTGCAGGAAAGAGAATACAATTGTGAAGCTTATGCAAACTTAAAATTTTCCCTCCTCTCTCTAATGGATTATTGCTTAGTCTGATCTTGAATCTTAGTAGTGAACCAATTTCAAGATTATATTTATGATAATATGAGTGAGTTCCTTTGGATCATAGATATGTATTGCATTAGTACCTTGTTTGTGCTTGAATGGATGCTGCGGGATTGAGGTGATATATGGTTGCATTTTTTATAACTAGCTCATTTATGTGGGTCGAATATTGTTATCTTTCATATTTTGTATTCTTTTTTTGAAATGTTTGTATTTTAAGATCTTAATTCATTTGAAAAAATAGATGCTCTTTTATCATACTCTTAAATCTGAATTGATTTTAGATGTGGGTGTATGTATGTATATACGTGTACACATTCTGTTCAGCAGTTCGTGTCTTATTACTTTATAATGCTTGCTGCTGCACATTTTGTGGTGGGTGCAGGACATGACATCTAAGGATGCATTGATGAATATGGAATTTGAATTCATTTTTTACCCACCCAACCAACCAAACCCAACAGCCTCTAACCCTGACTTTTGAATTGTGGTTATCCTGTAACTATTTTTTTTATTGAACTAAATCTTTGTTATGACATAATATATATATATATATATGTGCATATATATGTTTCTTAACCTATAATTCATATATATTGGTGCCATACCCAGAACGTTAGCTGACATCCGGTGTGAGATTTTTACAGTTTTACCGGCAGTGATGTCAGCTGTCCCATTTAATTAATTTAATAAATACCACCTGAGTGGTTCTTTCCCTCCACAGGTTTTTTTTTTTTTGTTTTTTTACTTTTTAAGCATCCAGAGGCCATAACACGGCAAGCCACACTCGTCAGACATCTTTCTATTGCATGATAATTTTTTTGTTTTGGTTTTGAGAAAATTAAAAACTGAAATTCTTAATCCGAACAAGAATATGTATAATCTTCACTTCTAGCAGTTACACAAATTCTTTAAATATTTTTTCAAAATTTTCTTTTGGAAAAACTTGCAATTATAATCCACACACCGACATGTAAATCAGTTTATTTTAATCTCGTGTTGGTGCTCGACTTGAGCTCTTGCCAGAAGGTGAAGATAAATTCATCGAAAGAAGGTAGAGATGAGGCAATCTTGTTCCTTTCACGCTCTCCCTCACCCCACTAATATTTAACTCTCAATTTTGTTTTAAATATTTAATTACTTATACACAAATAGCAAGCAGCATACTAAATTAAAAAATAAAATAAAATAGACCCGTATAAAATCTGAAATTTACAATCATAATTCCTGTAAAATCTTTATCGCAGTTCTCTTTGATCTTATTTTAAATTCTAAGCTAATTGATTGAGCGGAAAAAGTTGATTGGTATTATTGTTATTAGGTTTAAATCACATAATTGCTATCAACTCGCCTGGTGTGAACTGACTAATGTTTCTTCTTCAAAAAAGTCAAACTTGTTTCACTAAAAAATGGTGGTCGCTTGATACCCATCTGGTACAACGCCACACTACACCGCATCATAGCCTTCGGCATCTTCCTTGACCCCTTTTTTTTTAATTTATAATTTTAATCGATTATTATCCTATTTTTTTGGACTATGTGTTGTGTGAAATTAAATTTTATTTTATTTTTTAAGAAATCGATTCCCATATTTATAATTTTTTTTTATAAAAAAAGTGTTTTTATATAAAAA